AAAGGTTAATTAGGAAGGCAACATTTTTAAAGGTGTAATTAATCCCAGAGTCAAACAAAAGGGTGTGGATTATCTGTGTTGCTGCAGTCTTTGAGAAGGGGCATAGCCAAGGCTGAGTAGACTTGGGCAGACTCACTTTTCAAGTGTAGGGCTGTGTAGACGAGGGACAGGGATGGGCGAGAGACTCAGAGCCCCGAAGAGACATCCATGCCTGTGTCCTGTCCAGGAGGGTTCTTCCCAGGCTGCTGTGGGAGCCCCTCAAGTAGCTTCTAGACATTGTTTGTACCCTTGATTCATTGTCATCCCGTTTAATCTAAATGGGGCATCGGAGCCACATCCCACTTAGAAACTTCTAAACGTGCCTGAAAGGAAAGGCCAAGCTCTGTAATGTATTCCACAAGCTCCCCCACAGTTGGGCCCACACGGCCTGACTGTTTTTGCTTCTCACCACCCTCCTGGCTGTCACCCAGGCTCCTTGTTACAAAGCTCGCTGTTTCTGGAAGCCTCGGGCTGAATGACACTTTGAGGGCTTCCCTGTTAACACTTACCTTATTTTCTTTTAATGATCTGTATTCTTTTCTCGTAACACAGACGCTGAGCTCTTCGATGATACTTGATTTTTTTTTTTTTTTTAAATCTCCTTTCCCTTTCCTTGACTTAAGCCAAACATCCTGCCTGCTGGGCTCTGCTCTAAGAGATGGTCGATACTTGTTGAGAGAAATTTGTCAGTGCTGGCTGTCAAAGGTGATGGCGGCGGGCTTTGCTCATGGAAACGCAAGCTCACCCAGCCTCCCTGGAGGAGTGGTGAATCCCGAGCCGAATACCTGAGGTCATGGCTGTTGTAACCCCTTTGCCTTGTAGCTGAGGCTCTGAGGCAGGTGGCTACGGGAACAGAGCTGAGATGGTGAATGACTCAGCCTGAGACTGACAGCTGCTGATCTCTGCTTTGGCTGATTTCCCCCTTTGCAAATGGTTATTGGCAATTGAAACTGCAAATCTACTAGCTGCTCCCCTATGTAAATTGCATTTACATTTAAATTGTGTATTCTTCCCGAGGATGGGGTTAGTAAATAACTGGCAGATTAGGCTTGAGGAGAGGAAATTGTGCCCCATATCAAATCTGAGACTGAAGTGACATCTGGCTTTTACTATTTCCATTATTTTGGTTTGGTAACAGCATGTGGCATTAAGGAAAAAGAAAATTGGATCTACATTTTAATGAAAGGAGGAAACTCAGGATTTAGATACCTTATCACATTGAATACCTAGTCGATTGGCAATTAAACTGGCCTCAAAACTGGGATAACATGTCTTCACAGCTCCGGAGAGAATAAAAAGAGCAACCCAATGCCCAGAACCACTCGGATAAGACTGACAGGAATGGTGTGCACATTGACAACATACATTTCAGGATTTCACAGGGCACAGGAATCCTCAGATGTAACAACGTTGACAATATCGCCATGAATATGCATGAGGGGAGCTGGAGAGGATGGTCTGAAGACAAACATACAGGCTAGGGAGCTCAACCCAGAGATGTTTGAAGTCAGCTGAGTTTAGCCCCTGATGGTTTCAAATTCCAGGGGTTTGACCAAGAAAATATCTCAAAAATGACTGCCTCTTTCCAACGGTCTCACTGCTGGAAACGGAAGAGATTCCACCTGCTGGCTGATTTTTGTTGAAAGCAATTCTGGGCCATGTAAACAAAATGTTTCTGCATCCTAATAAGGCAAGCCTATCATTTATTTGCTTTGATTGAAACAAATGTGTCAATTTTCTAAGTCTTTGTCTGGTGAATTCAGTGTTTGGATGCTGATAAATGATCACATCATATGTTTGGAAACTGGTGCTCTAGTCAGAACTTTGGAGTCACAGTCTGGGAGCACTCAGACTTCCTAGCCACCCGCCCCAAGATGCTCCGCTCTTCCCCAGGCCTGGAAAAGGCTGGGTACATAAGAAGGGTAAAGGGGATGGAGGCTCCAGGAGGAGGGGTCTGGATACAGAATCCCCGAGACCAGGGCTCACGAATAAGTGAAATACTGAAAATGTGTAGGACTTACTGGGTGCCAAGCTCTTCATGTATTTTAATTCACAGGGGCCTATGTCAGTCTCACGGGGAGAATGCCAGCTGTCACTGTAGATGAGGGAGGACTCAGTCTTCTGCAGGTGGTAAGAGATGGACCGGGGTTTCACTCCAGGCAGGGCAGCTCCTCAGTCTCCTTTAAACCCTTTCAGATGGTTCCATTTCTCCTGGTGTTTAATGAACACACTGTGTTTTCTCACAGTTACATTTTGTCTCGCATAACTGTTTTGAAAACCACACGGTTTTCTTGAAAGAGGGCTCTTTCCCTAAAATAAAGCAACAATAAGATGTACGTTTTGCAATGTAACGATAATGTATGTCTCAGCTGCCTTGCGGGTATCCATAGACTGGAATGAGACATGAACGTGTTTTAAAGAGGCCCAAGCCATGAGACTTCCATATGGTCAGAACATACCCTCGGTCCCGATTATTCTTTTAATTAAAAGACAAAACAAAACCATCTATTGCATATATGTGTGTGACATGTTTGGACACTTGCGTGCCACAGTGTGTGTGTGTGTGTGTGTGTGTGTGTACGTGTGTATGGGGGGGTGGGGAGGTTTGGATAACTTTCAGCTGTCCTTTCCTTGTGAGTCCTAGGAATGGAACTCAAACTGTCAGGCCTAGTGGCAAATGTCTTTTCCCAATGAGCCATCTTGCCAGCCCTGGATTCTTCTTTTTTCTTTCTTTTTACATTTATTTATTTATTATTTATTTTAATGTATGAAGGCTCTGTCTGTATGTATGCTTGCATACCAGAAGATCCCACTGTAGATGCTTGTGAGCCCCCATGTGGTTGCTGGGAATTGAACTCAGGACCTCCGGAAGAGCAGTCACTGCTCTTGCTCTTTGCTCATTGCTGAGCCATCTCTCCTCCTCCTCTTTTTTTTTGGCGGCGGGGGGTGGGGGGGGGAGGGTGTTGAGACAGAGTTTTTCTATGTAACTGCTTTGGCTGTCCTGGACCTTGCTTTGTAGACCCTCGAACTTACAGAGTTCCACCTACCTCTGCCTCCCGAGTGCTGGGATTAAAGGCATTCGCCACTATACCAGCTCAAGTTTTCTTAACTGAAAAATCCTTCAATGGATCCAAGTCCCTTCCACTTTCCTGTCTCCCTGTGACTTTTGGTGGTGGCAGGGATGCTGGCATTTCTCGTTTCTCCTCCACATTGCTTGGCACCGTTTAGTTCCAGGCGGCTCCTTTCTCCCTGTTCACGATGGTAACTTGTAGCCTCTTCAAATATTCACCACGGCACTCCGCCTCTGAAGCTGGCCAGTGCCTCCTTCTGCTTGAACTTAGCTTCAGTCCATCAAAGGTGCTGGGCTGGAGGTATGCCACTGATGTCACATTGTCAGTATTGTGATTATCACCACATCTAACAGGCAAAGAAGGCACAGTTGTTCATGGCAACCCTTGGGTGAGACTCACCCAGCTGAGGTAACCAGCCTGACTGTATAGACTTCAGACAACCATGTGAAGGGGTGAGTGGATTAATCATCCAGTTGGGTTTCATTTGAATATGTGTCTGCCATATGTGTCTTCCCTCTAGGCAATTGTCGAAAGTCACTTGAAATTGATGAGAGCTCTTTGGAAGGTTATTTTTGGGAAGTCAGAGAAACAAGAGACAGCTGTTCTCTGGAACAAATGTCGCCGGATCTGCCTAAGTGTGCCTTCAGTACCAAATAAATAAATAAATAACAAAAATCTGAGCTGCTGAGACACAGTGTCTGCCCTTTCCATCATTAGACTTATTTCTGGAAAGGTTCATCCAGCTCCCCCAAGACATGGGAAGGTGGAAACTAATGTTAACCAAGACCACGTTTGCAAAGAAGAAGCATAGTCTGATGAACCAAGTAGCCCAAGTAAGCGTTTCTGAGTGCTCTGTCATAGGTCACACAATTCTCTGGCTTTTTCTAGCTTGTTTACGATGCGCTTCCTAATTGGACATTGACAGAGCACCAATAAAAGCAAAGTCATTTCTTAAAATGGGACTCTATCTTCCCAGGCTGAGCGCTTAGCTTATTTTCCCTGCAATATTAAAATCCTTGAAACCTGTTAGAAACGAGGTGCCTTTCTCCACCACATTCAGTGGGTGATGGGGTCCAGTTTGGGGGTGGGAATAAAAAGATAAAGGTTATAGAAATAATTGACTGGAGGCTGTACAGGTTTAGACAGATCAAGATTTCCCAAACCAATGTAGCCCAGTCTGCGAGGAGAATTAAGCATTGGCTTTTTCCAAGTGCCAGTCCATCAACCACAGTGTTTCCTAGTGCCTAATTAAAAAACCCACTGCTAGCCTGACTGCACACTGTTAGCTCAGTAGGTGAGGAGCCTTGTCTGCCGACACACATGGTGGAGGAAGAGAACTGATTAACAAGTTGTCCTCTGACCTATAGACGGACATGTGCTGTGGTACCCACCCATCTTCCCAAGTGCATATGCACATTTTAAAGCCTTGAAAAACTGCATCTCATTGTGCTCAGGGTTAAACTGCACATTCGAAAACCACTACAGCTCACAAATCTCTGAGCCCCAAGCTCCCTGTAGCCTCAGGAAAAGGAGAGCAGAGAGAAATAACTTTTCTAGCTCAATGAAAACAAATCTCTCTCAACTCTTTCATATTTAATTAACGGCTTGTCTTCCGGGGTGCTAGAGTCCTGAGTAGCATCCCAGAGCAGTCACGGAAATAGTCTGCTCATTTTACCCAGGTAAGTTTTCTTACAGTAGTTGAGTAGAAAAGTTAGAAATCACTGATCCAAGTTTTGCCTGAAGGCTACCACTCCCCGCAGGACTCTGGCAGCAAACGGAAGTGGTAATACTGTGCCTTAGTGTCTGTGCCGTAGAATCTATTTGTAAAGTTGTCTTAATGAATTTAATATTTTCCTGCTTCAAGGAGTCCACTGTTGGAGAAGAGGGCCACATTTCTATCAGTATGGTCGATGTGCAGTGTCTGAGTGACAATGAATTGCGCAAGCACCTTAAGAAGCTTGGATTTGCACCTGGCCCAATAATACGTATGTTCACAGTTAAATATTAGGGGGTGTCCATTTGTTGCTTACAAACTACTTCCAAAGTTCAAATCAGAGCAGTACAGGTAGAAGGAACATATGCAGTAAAAGCCACTAAAAATATAAAGAGGAAAACAGAAGCCATATGGAGGGAAGATGTAAAAGACACCCCCTCCATCCTCCCCACCCCCATCCTTACAGATTGGGAGGGAGATGGGTATTTTTGTTTGTTTTGTTGTCTTATTTTGTTTCAACGCTGAAAACCCAATTATTACATTGGTCATCTTGACTTTTTGGATGTGCCCTATGTTTTCATTATCTCTATTGTCATAGACAACCATGTCCCACTTGCTCTCAGATGTATCCAGGACCTGGTTATTGATAATCTGTAGGCATCCCCTGATCCTATAATAGTAAGAGTGATCTGGGTAGCCGTGGGGTCCGCCTCACTGTTAAAAAGCCATAATTAGACAGTAACGTAAGGTCCTAGAAGAAAAGGTCCGTGTTACAAAATGACTTCTGAACCCTGTGTAGACAACAAGGAATAATTTAACTCTCCATGTTGTTTCTCAGCTTCCACAAGAAAAATGTATGAAAAAAAGTTAGTGCAATTGTTGGTCTCACCTCCCTGTGAACTGCCTGTCACGAAGAGACTTCAAAAGCTGCATGGACCTGAGGACAGCGATGACAACGAAGGTACCATTGTCTGCAGTGCTGCCAGATGGCAGCTTCACATTTATTAATGCCCTGTCCAGCATGGCTTACGCACTGTAAACGGTGTGCATGCTGACCTGTGAAATAGCTGTGTGGCCTCTTTTTTGCACAGAGCCTACAAAATAAGCCCCCCCCTCCCCGGGCTGCAGAAGAATCTGAACAGCAGTGTGTTTTCACAGGGAAGACACGGCTGGATGAGATGTTGGGGGCAGGACTAACCAGTGTGCTCATCCTTTACCTAACTAGACTCGGCTTTTGTGTGTGGATCCCTTAAACTCAGCTCCTATAGGCAGGGTTCCAGCCTCCTGGGAGGTCTGAAACTGATACGTTTCACTATGATTTTCTTTGGATTAGGTGATTTCATGCCCCAAAAGAAGAACGGATCAGCTTGTACTTCTCTGAACTTCTCACATACAAACTGCTGACAGTAGTTTTGGAGACTGAGTGCGTGGGTAGGAAGCTGTGGTCCCTGGAATCCCTTTCCTTTGCCTCCAGTGGCCTCGGCCTCAGGAAGCACACTATGTAATGTAGCATAAATCAAACGCCCACAGTAGTTTCTGTCTCCAGGTTTCTCAGAGGATGGCCTTGGAGGTCCCCATTATATATCCCGCAAACATTTCCTAGGAGTCCCCTGTGAGCCCAGGGAAACAGCTCCTAATGTGGCCACCCATGTCTTTTGGACAGGATATACATCAAGCCTTTTAATCCTCACAACACTTAGCCAAAGTCAGAAAGCTAGAGTGATGTGGTGGTTTGGAAATAAGTGGTTCCCAAGGATGTGGCACTATTAGAAGGTATGGCCTTGTTGAGGAAGTGTGTCACTGTAGGGGTGGGCTTTGAGGTCTCCTATGCTCAGGCTATGTCTAGTGATACAGTTTACTTCCTGTTGCCTGAAGGTTAAGATATAGAACTCTCAGCTCCTTCTCCAGCAACATGTCCGTCTGCATGTCATCATGTCCTACCAGCAATAGAACAGTGACTAAGACAAGAGACCAGCCCCAAATCGTATCACTGAGGAGTGGCCCTAGGAGATGAACATAGATTGGATATGACACGAAGAGCCAGACTACCTAGATTGACCACCACTCTCTGTCTAGCCTCACATAGCAAGAATTCAATGTATAGGGTTAGGATAAAAAAAAAAAAAAAAAGCCAGAACTACCTGTGTTGGAGGTATAGCTCAATGTAGGGCACTTGCCTCAGGTGTGCAAGGCCCTAAGAACCACCTGGACTCACAGACATGTGTACACATACACACACACACACACACACACACACACACACACACACACAGTGACAGAGCTGGGACTTGAACTCAGGACTGCCCTTTAAAATTGTGCTTTTTACCTGATGGCCTATACTTGATGAACAGATTGCATTTTGGAGCATGTGTGATCTATACAAAAGGATAATTTTCCCTACTTACTATCAGCTCAAATTAAATAGTGCAAGTGCTCTCTGGAAAAAAAAAAATGTTGACATTGGATGGACACAGATTTCTTCAATAGGCACAGCCAGCTCATTTGGAAAAGACCATGGGATTTAGGGATAGACCCCACTGGCCAGTAGGTAGGCCAGGGTACAAGTAACAGTAGGAAAAGTAGCTGTCTCAGACTGGGGTCTTCTCTGATTCCTGCCCTCAGAAGAAGCTGAGGGAGCTAGTTCATCCATAGAAACTGTTAAGGGCTGCCCATGAAGTCAAAGCTATGGCCAGCTCAAGCTAGTTCAAGCCAGGGGCCCCCTTCCCCCTACCCCTGCAGTTCCCAGGACATGTGAGTTTCTGCTGGGACTGAAGAAACTTGCATTCCTTTGGCGAGCTTGACTATTTTCAGCTGGGTCTACCAGATGTCAGATTCCAGGTGGGAGGGAGATTCTACTTGTCATGAAGTCCCGGGTTGTCAGCCACCAATGCTTGCTCCAATCACAAAACTATCCCCCACAGAAGGCCCGAATTGTGTTTTTAAGGTCAAGTTTGTCACCAGAAGCTTCCCAGTGCCATTGGAATGAATTTGAGTTTATGTAGGAAATGATCCTACATCTGTCTCAGCTTGGACCTAGGTCACAAAAGTGCCTGCTGGGGTGAGGGGTAGGACAGCAATGACAGGATTCTTCTTATTTTCACCCATTGTCTTGATCAGTGGGTGGACTTAGCTTTAATTCTTCGGCCTCTTTTGTTTTTCTGAGGGGGCAGATGGGAGACTGGATTTGACTGTGTAGTAGCCCAAGGTCTGGAACTCACTATATCGACCAGGATGATTTTGGGCTTGCAGTGATCCTCCTGCCTCAGCCTCACTACTGATGGGATTACAGGTGTGTAATGGCCACCAACCTCTTCTCAAGCTTGTTAGATGTCTCGCTTGATACGTATTCATTACCCTGATCTGCAGGAGCACGTCTGTAACCCTATCTCTGTGGAGGCCGAGACAGGCGGGCCTCAGCAGGGACTCGGAGCCTGGAATAAATGGTGTAATCCTGCTTCAAAACAGCAAATGAAAAATAAAATGCCTCTGTGAATCGCACGGCTGAGTGCACGTCAGCATGGCACCCTCCTTTACATCCCCCAGTGTCCTTATGGGCTGCTTTCTGCTGCTGGCTGTCCCACTACTCAGAAAGCCACTGGCTTCCTCTTCTTCAGGGTGCTGTTTTAGATAGGAGGCAGAAAGTCCTTCCTCTCCTGGCATTCAGGGACACACAAGGCTCACAGCTGGTTTGCAGTGAATATGCTAGACTGAAAACAGCTGCCCAGAGAGCAGCCTGCTAGCTTATGTCTCTCAGAGGCATGCAAACAGGACAGCCAGCAGAGTCCCCCAGGAGGCCTGAGTTTCCCTCAGCTCCTGCAGCTCTGGAGGAAGACTCTTTTCTCCATAAAGGAAGGGAGGGCACTGTGAATTTCTTCCCCTCATGAATGCACACTGTGGCTGAGAAACAAAATAAAAAGCAGTGTTTATTTCTTCTGCTATCCTGTATGTTCGCATGGCCTATTTTCTCTGTTTGTATCCCCAGATCCAGCAGTAAATATCGTTTTGAAAGGAAATATCAAATTCTCAAAGGACAAAGTCAAAGAATGCAAAAAAGTATGTACTAATGCGTGAACACTTCTACATATGTGTAGAATTTGCCTTTTCAGATATGAAGTCGTCCACTCTAATTTGTTAAGAGTCCTGAGGTCCTAGTCTAAAGCTGATCTCTTAGTGAAAAAATCTTGCCTTTTGAAATGATATTTGTGTTCTAGCCAAAACCCAGAGTATCATTGTTTCTGTTGCCCCGTAGTCACACGGGTCCTACCCTTCAAGCCTCACACTGTTCCCTCAACATTTATGAACAGAACTGGGTTCTAGGTCCACTGTGAGCACAGGATAAATGAGTCTCTAGTCTCCTCTCTTGGACAGCCAGATGTTGGGATGTGGCTGGAGGTCAAGCGTGTGTGTGTGTGTGTGTGTGTGTGTGTGTGTGTGTGTGTGTGTGTGTGGTCCCTCAGGAGAGACCTGGCTGGTTTAGGGGCCCTGGCCACCGTCGGCTTGGGCACACTTTGGGGAAACCAGTTAGCTGCATCCAACAGATCCTGCCTGCCTGGGGTTTGTCATGAGAAGGCAGGCCATCAGCATCTAGCGTGGCATAGAACAGCATTCCCTGAGGAATTCTCGCATTTGCTTCTTCTGATGCTCTTTGTCCCTAACTATTTCAAGGGCTGCCAGGTTCCTCTGCTTCTCAGCCTCGCCACTCTGAGGGTTCCTTCCTATCAGCTTGCTCTCTAGATGTCATGCTTGAGGTCTTCAGCTCTGGCCCTTTCCTACCTTTTGGGCTTCCCTTGACACCTGCTCCTGTGATAACTCCTCCAAGACCTTCTCAGGCACGGGCCTGTGACAGGCAGGGTTTATACAGTCTCTAAACTTCCTTCCTCCCTGTGCCCAGTCAACAAGCAATCCCTCACAATCATGAATATTTTGCAGGTTGGAGGGATGTCTTCGTACCTGGCCACATGACCACTCCCCTGCTACTGTACAGGATAGATGTGAGGAGCAAACACATTCCCACTCCTATCCAGCTGCACAGGAGGTCTCTGCTTACTGCTCGTCATCACTGCCCAGGCTTAAGAGTTCAGGGCCAGATGTTTCCTATCTTTGCTATCAGCACACAGGAAACCGAAATGGGAGAACAGTGAGCTAGCCTGGGCTACATGGCAAGACCCTATCTCAAAAAATACCAACCAGCCAGCCAGCCAGCCAGCCAGCCAGCCAGCCAGCCAAGCAAGAAACCTGGGATTGCCCATGCAACTCAGCAGTAAACACTGACTAGAATATACAAGCCCTGGGTTCCACCCCAGGCCTCCACCCCACTGAAAAGAAATCCTCTTCTTACCACTACCCTAACCTCCACCTGTATTGTTACCAGTTTATTTGAACAATTGTGAAATCTCTCAAAGCGGGTTCTGCCCCTGACTTCCCCCAGTTCCAGTGTAGATCTACCATCAGAGGCTTAGTAACCCCACTTACCTGTTCTGCCCCTCAGAGACACTGAGGTACTTCCTGTCGCTTTTATCCCTCCTCACCCAGGGGATGCACCTGGTGTGTTCCCTACAGCATCTCCACGCCAGCTGGTCCTTGAAGCTGGGGTCCTTGCCATTCTTCTCATACCCTGCTCTTTTTCTCCCTGTTAAGATCCTGTGATTTTGTAAGAGCTGCTTCAGAGGCCACTCGTGTGAATCCCTTTGAAATGACACTCTATCCCATTCATTAGCTGAGCCCTCACAGGGTCTTGCACCTGACAGGAGCCTAAAATGTACTCACCAAGCCTATCACACAGTTTTAGCAACAAATAGGTTAGTTGCAATTGGATTCTGGGATTTAAACTACCTGCAGAATTTAAATGCATGAAAAGAAACCCCGGGTAATCAGGGCTGGAGCGGCAGCCTCCCATTCAGAAACAGTTCCGATTTGAAGAAGTGATTCTGAGCGAGCGTAGCATTTTCTGAAAGGGTTTTTAAAAAGTCTACTAAATGGCTCACTAAAGGAACCTTTTCTATTCACTAAAACCCCAGTTCCTGAGAAAACCCTTTTGTCTAGGTCTTACAAAGATGGTTACGGTGGAAAAAGCCACCTTCTTACTTGAAACACCTAAGAGAGCAAACAGCGGCCTGTGGTCTTTGCTTTACATAAACCCGAGACAAAGCCGCATCGATATTTTCAACTGGAAATAGAATTAAATGGAAAGTTGATGATGGCACAGAATCTTTTCATGGGAAGGATTTATGTAAGCTGTTTTGATGCTTCAGAAGGCCTCCATGACATCTGCCCCACTTTATATCTGGAAGTAAATGCAAACACGCATTTAGGGGTTCTTGTATGAATTATTTGGAGCAGTGGTCTTCACCAAATAATCTTGTCAGTGCATAATAAGGGATGGTTTGTCCTTTCATTTTAGTAGGTCCCCAGTGAAGTACAGCCATCTTGAGATTTGGATTATGACAGTTGCAACGGCCTGCTTAAAACATAGTGAACATATATTTCGTCAAACCACTTACATAGCCTGCAGATTTGGCCATTAAGATGACCCAGAAAGCCAGATCAGGGCTAGGGCGCAGTCCAGTGATAAAGCACATGTCTAGCAAAGAAGACCAGCGAGCAAGGTCCCCGTGTAGAAGTTGGTAGCCCTTTCATCAGACAGGAACCAGACATCTTTCTAGTGCTGGGGTGAGAGCTAGGTTTGCATGTGCAACTCGGGCTCCCTGTCTCCTCCTTCAGAAGGGTTTATGGTTGACTGTGACAGAGCTAACAGGCTTCACTGGCAGCTTGTATAGGGTGGGATGTGAGAAAGGTGCCTGCCTGTGTGATTCATCACCCCAAACAGGATGAAGAGAGAATTTGGGTACTAGTCAGGAGAGTAAGGCGGAGTCTTACATGGTCACCTGGAGGTAGTTCCAAGGACTTATGTGTGTACACCTCACCTCGAGAGGGATGCTGTAGCCAAAAGCCAAGGGCAGGGGCAAACCGGTAGGGCCTTGTGGAATATTAATTTAAGATGTGTTACATTTGTTTATGCTGTAGAACATTTGTTTAATGATACAAGGGTGTGTTGTGTTCTTTTTTGTGTAGGAAGTTTATTGGGGGAATGAAAGGGAATACGGGAAGGGAAGAGAGGGGAGAGAGGAGAGAGAGAGAGAGAAAGTTGCATTTTTTTTTTCAAGACAGGTTTTCCCTGTGTAACAGTCTTAGCTGTCCTGGAACTTACTCTGTAAGCCAGGCTGTCCTCGAACTCACAGAGATCCTCCCGAGTGCTGGGATTAAAGGAGTGTGCTACCATTGCCCAGCAAGAGAGGCAAAGTTTCTATGCTGAAGAAACCTTTTTGTTTTTGAGACAGCATCTCACTATACGGCCCTGGTTGACTGGAATTAGCTGTGTGGATTAGGCTGGCCTTGAATTCACAGAGATCCACTTGCCTTTGCCTGAAGTGCTGGGATTAAGGGTGTTTGCCACCATGCCCAGCTCTGAATAAACTTTAAAATGTGCTCTAGATGCAAAAAAGTCATATAAAAAACTATGGGCACTAGAGACAGACTGCCAGGGCTCAACCTCAGCTCTGCCACTCACTTGGCTAAACCCCCAGCCCTGTTGTGTGTGAGCTCACCACCTGTAAGTAGGCTAATAATGATTTCTGCCTTGTAATGCCTTGTGGAGGTGGAGTTCAAGCATATAAATCCGACTGGGGGTATAGCTTGTAGCAGAGTAGTTATGCCATCTAATAAAAGATACTTAGCTACAAATGAAGGCTATTGTTTTTGTTAGCAGGATTGGTCTATAAAAAGCACACTATTTAATTAGCTTCAATACACAATAACACAGTGGAAAAAAAAATAAGTTAAGGGAAATAAGATCTTCAGCACGGAGCTCAGAATGCTGCAGAATATGACTTATCAAAGTGCCTAGAGGAATATTTATATAAGTAAATAATCAGGCATGATTAAAGACTGCTTTCTGTATGCAAGGGAGCCAGACAGAAAAGTCTAGTGTATATAAGCAAGGCATGGTGGCACACACCAAAAACCCTACTAATTAGAGAATTTACAAAAGTCTCTATTGTGGGAATTCAACAGACTCGTGAATACAGGGCAAGATGGAGGCCACTGTGGGTCCAGCTGCCATGTCCAGCCTTCCCACCCAGGGGAGATGTGAACAACCACAAGGCTTGCTTCTGCTCCAACCTCCCAGGAGAGTGAGAGAAATCATTCTTCCTTATAAGAGATCACATCTGTACACAGAAGCCACTCCCTAAGTCTGGTACCCCAAAACTATTGGCTAACGAATTCCCATACTTCCCCCTTTTGTCTAAATAAGGTTCTAAACCTAATACAAAACTATGTATATTAAGAACAAACATCAAGTATTGTCCAAGAGAAAGGAAGGATAATAACACACACAAAAATAGAACTATAAACATCAAGCAAGAAACACAAACACATACTAAAAAATGTTCAGGCTGTGGGTAATAGGTAAATAGCAGAGATTATTCCAATAGCTGTCCTGTCCTGAGGAGTCAAAGTCTTGTACCTAAAATGTCTCAACTAAGATATGAGAGGATAGTAACTGTGACTACCTAGTCTTCAACCCCATTAAAGACCTGAGAAGGAAAATAATATTATCCAAGTAAGCAGGAAGTGCAAGAAAGCCATTCCCCAAAGGTGTAAAAAAAAAAAAAAAAAAAAAAAAAAAAAAAGACAGAAACAGCTGGCTACCTGGACAGTCACCCAAAGTCTCTTAGCAATGTTGGGGCAACCAACTTTGGTTGTAGGCTTAGAATATCTGACAGGCCATTTTCAGAAGAAGGGAAATTAGCAAGACTATCCTAACCTGTCTTGGCAAGACTCAGCAGTCACTTTTCCTTACATCCTGCTGCTTATCCAGTTTGGGCAGCATGCACACTGTCAGCAATTGAGGTAAGGGCAGTTCTTTGCCCAAAAGGCCAGTTATGCCAAGAAGAAAAGTTCCATGTGGAATGTCTCAGAAATGGCTTGGTGCTGCCAGGAGCAGCTGTGTTTCATGTCAACAGAACTCTAAATTATTGAAGCATTTAAATGCTTTATTCTGTAGGTCTCCGAAGTGTTTAAAGATAGCCTATCTATTCGGAGTACATGTCTGTGCATATGTCATACTATGAGTATGACAAACACAGGTCACTATAACCGATATAAATTACAGACTAAAGTTTCCCATTATAAAAATAAAGTCTTTAAACAGATGTGCAGCATGAGGACAATGACCTCAAAATTGTAATAATATATGATCAGAGGTATAATTCAATATGACAAAAACATCCTTAAATTGTATCAATATACTAATATCTAAAGCAAATACAGAGACATACATATATACAGCATGACAAAAATAATCTTACATTTGTGTTCAAAAACATTGTAAACAGAAATAGAAACATATACAATATAACAAATATAACTTTGAATTTGTATCAATATGCAAATTATCTTAGAAATTTAAAAATAATTTTACATATGTATCAATATACAAGTCTATAACAATGTAAATTGTCTATAAATAATAGTTGCTAAAATAGTTTACAAGTAGATACACTAATCTACCTTGTTATCTATCTAGTCCCCCTTTTTTATGTACCAAACAACATTTGGTATATAAATGTTGTTTGGTATATATAGGGGCAAATAACATTATGCCCCTAACCCTATAATAAATTATAACCAGCCCTGAGAAAAACCAAAGCCATCCTTCTCAGTTGTTGGGAAGAGGGGACAGCATTTGTTTTCCCAACTGTTTTTGGGGAAACAATATCTCAGTGGGATCCTGTAAAAACAAAACAAAACAAAAAAACAAAACAAGCAAAAAACCTAAAACAATGGTTAAGACTCAAGAGGAACAGACCAGTGGTGGCCTGAACCTTTAATCCCAGCACTCGGGGTGGCAGAGGCAAGCGGATCTCTGTGAGTTCAGTGCCAGGATAGGTTCCAAAGCTACACAGAAAAACCCTGTCTCAAAAAAAAAAAAAAAAAAAAAAAAAAAAAGGCTCAAGAGGAAGAGCTGTAACATTTGTAGCCAGTTTCTGTGTAAGGTTTATCTGAAGTTCTGGCTACAGTGTTGTAAGAAGGTGGACCATCTCAGCTGGGCAATTTGAAATTGTCTTTTAGTCCAAAGCTGATCCTTGAGTGGTATTTATCAGCTCGATGGCATTATTATGAACCAGGTAGAATCATTGTTGTGGGGCCCCATCCTCTTCCTGGAGACCTTAGAGATTGATGTTAAGAAAATTTCTTGTTCACTGTCAAAACTTAAACATTACTAATATCAAAATGGAAAGTTTAAATTTTTGATAGATATGCATTCAAAAAAAGGTTCCATAGAGACAGAAAAAAAAGTATGGAGAGAAGTAGAATTTTGAGAAGATAACAGAGTTTTGACAAAAGTCCCTAGATATTTGGTTTTCTTTTGTCCCAGAACCTACCACTTAAGAGCTTGAGTCAGAAGCACTCCAAATTCAAGGCTAGCCTAAGCTACATAATAAGACACTGACTCAAAAAAAAAAAAAAAAAAAAAAAAAGAACAACCAAAAAAGGCTTATGTGCCCCCTGGTGTTCAAATGCCTTAATCTTGTAACTACATCCTTTTCCATTTCTTTGAACACTTTACAATTGTTACTTTGTAATAATGTTACAGCTACAGAGTTGTTACAGAGTAGTATAAAGAACTGTGTTGTTACTATGTATCACTTTTGGAGCTGCAGTTGTTACTAAGTACCATTTTTGCTGTGTGTTGGGTTGTGTCTCTGAACTCTCTTGAGAACCAACTGTAGACATGAAGCCTCCAGCCCTTGGGTAGGCAATCTGGTGACCGCAAAGGAACCCCCCTATGACACTCCGGAGATCCACCTAGGGCCAACCCCACCTCCCAGTGCACAGACCCTACCAGGCTTTTACTATTGTCTCAACAGCATCCCTTTGCTTTCTGGTCTACTGTCATTCCAGAAACACCTCTCACATCTAGTTGTCTGGTCGTATACTCGTATTTTTGCTCAATTTTCTATTTTTTTTCCTATGTAAAGTGTCTTCCTGGTCACAGTGGCTGCCTCCTCTGCATAACTCCCTCGCTGTGCGCTGTGCTCGCTGCCTTCTTGACCTCTGCTCATGCTAGCACTCTCTGAGGTCCTCCCCTCCTCCCCTCACCGCCCTGCCTTGGTTCCAGAGTGCGCCACACCTAGTTCCCCAGGCCTTGGTTCCAGAGTGCGCCACACCTAGTTCCCCAGGCACTCAGGACCCTCCCCCCAGCCTTGCTGTTCCGTCCTTTTGCTCACATTCCTGTGTCTCTGTCTACTCCCTCCGTGTAGAGGGCACATGGGAAACCAGGGGAGGAAAAAAATCTTCCAGGTTACGCCAATATAAAAATGTTAACACTTCAATAGGATTTTAATTCTCTGTGTCTTAATGTCTATTTTGCCTTATAAGATACCTTGTGGGCCTACAATTAGCATGTGCAGGGTTAAATGTTCCTGTCAGAAGGCCCAGTGAGACAAGGGAATGTGTGGTAAATGGCCTCAATTAAGTGTGTGGATCAAGTAGCGTGTTCTAGAAGACCGATGTTAAACATCACTGTAATAGTTTGTTAATTAACTGAAAAACATTCTTATTCCCGATAGGAGCTGTATACTCTAGCTGGGTTCAAGTGAAGTGTAAATTGCATATTCTATAACTACTTAATAAGCCTTCTCTTCTCACCCTTGACATATGCTAATGGCAGCTAGCTGCCATCTTGGCAAGGAATGCAATTTAGCCTCAACATCCTACCTTAAAAACACCGGCTTTCCAGGAATGGGATTTTATGTGAGTTTCCCACTAACCTGTTGATTCCTTTCTATGTAAAAGAAACCAGTCAATGAACTGAAATGGCAGCAGGCAAACACGGGAAAGTCAAACTCTGGTTGTAAATCCTGGAAGATGCTAATTAAGGTAAACCTATCTATGTTCCTAAAACTGAATAGTAGTGTCCTCTACTATTAGGAACACATGACTTAGGGTGTCTTTCCTGTCCCTTCCTTCTAGGACTATAGCCATACTGACTTTACTGTCATTTCCTTTCCAAGAGCATACATCTATCTTCATTTTATCAGAAGGGATTCCCTGGTGCCCTTCCCATAGGGCACTCAGGACAGCAGCTCCATGGGCACTGGACACCATTCCTCCTAACTCCGGGGCCCAGGTGTGATTTATTGAAGATAACTATTGATTGTGGAATTTCCTCCATGAAAAGCTTCTTGGCTCTCTTTAGAGAAATGTACAGGAAGAAGATGACACACCCAAGAACACAGAGGAAGCTAGAAGAAAAACTGGAAATAAAATTTCTATTCCCAATTTCTATCCAGTTCTAAGTGACCAAGGAGGAAAGGTGTCCTTAGTGATGAAAGTGCTCCCCCTGGTGTCTACATTTAGGTATTGAAAGAAGACTTGGGTAGCAAAGGCCTCTTTCTGATGATTGATTCCTCTAGTTGGTGGACCCTTCCAATCACACACCAAGGTCGAAGCAACTAATCTATGAAAATGAATTTCTGGAATTTTCCTAAGTGGAGAGTAAAAAAGCTGAGTCTAGTACTTTTGATACTTGTTTATAAAACATATTATGGTTTGAAAAGAAACCCTCCATCCACATATTCTGTTAATCGGTGTGATGATAGCACACCCTTCAGCCCCAGCTCTTGGAAGGCAGAGAAGGCCTGGTCCATGCATGTTGTTTGAGGACAGCCAGGGCTACATAGTGAGGCCTTGTCTCAAAATGAATCAACAACACTGTTCTAAATCATCAAAATTTAGCATTGCTAGATTTAATTTGACCTTAGTTTTAGGTTTTGAGACAGGGTTTCTCTGTGTGGCCCTGGCTGTCCTGGAACTCCCTCTGTAGACAAGAATGGCCTGGAGAACTCACAGAGATCCACCTGCCTCTGCTTCCTGGGTGCTGTGATTAAAGGCGTGTGCCACCACCACCTGGCTGCTAGATTTAAGTGTGGTGGTGGGATGTGTTATTCATGATTGTAACTGGATTTCTCTTATTTCTAATAAGATTGGACTTCTTTTCTCATATTAATTGGTCACTTTTTTCCCCATGTAAGAGATGGCTGTTTATGTCGTTTGCTCATTTCTATTAGATTGTGTGCCTTATTGGCTTATAGGTGTGATTTAGATATTGTGCTTACCAGCTGCTTGTTAGTGCTGGGTATAGCACATACCTTTTGCTCATTTTTGGTTTGTCTTTTCACTCTTTTCAACCTGTTTTTACACCAAGTGCTGACAGCAAAAAACTTAATCCCAGTACCCAGAGGCAGAGGCAGTTGTATCTCTGTGGGTTCGAGGCCAGCCTGGTCTTCAAAATCGGTTCCAGGACAGTCAGAGTCTTCAAAACAAAAACAAAAAAAGCTTCATTTTGAAATTACTTCAATTTATAGAAAGTTCCCCAAAAGAGCACCTATGTGGCTGTCACCCAGATTTGCCCATTGTTTGTTTATTTGTGGTGTGGGGGGGGGAGACAGTGGTGGGGGGTGGTAAACAAGCACCGGGCAGCCAGAGGTTGATGTTGAGGGTCTTTCTCAATTGTTCCAGGCCTTTTTTTTTTTTTTTTTTTTTTTTTTGGTACAGGGTCTCATTGAACCTGGAGCTTGCCATTTGGCTACGGCAGCTGCCACAGAGCTGCAGGGACCTGCTTGTGTCTCTGTCCCTGCGGTGCTGGGGTTACAGATGAGCCATGCCTTCTTACATGTATGTTGGGGACTTGAATGCAGGTCCTCATGCTTGCATGACGAGCACTTTACCCACTGTGGTGACTTGAACGAGGTTCATGTATTTGAATACTTGTTCCCCCTTAGCAAGACTGTTTGGAAGGACCAGGGGGTGTGGCCTTGTTGTGGGGGAAGCTTGCCACTGGGGACAGGTTTTGAGGTTTCAAGAGCTCATGCCATTCCTAGTCTTTCTCTTCGTCTTGTGCTTGTAGATAAGGATGTAGCTCTCGGCTACTGCTCCAGTGCCTGCCTGCCCGCTGCCTTGCTCCCTCTCACTATGATGGTCATGAACTCTAACCCTCTGAGACAGTGAGCCACAAATAAATGCTTCTATAAGCTGCCTTATCACAGCAATAGAAAAGCCGCCAAGACACCCACTGAGCATCCCTCCAGCCCCCAAACAGTAACATTTGATTGTGAGGAAACCCAAACACCGCCTTACCGTTGCACAGTTCACAGGAGGTTAGTGCATTCAGAATGTGGAACCAGAACCTTGGTCTAAAATAAAACTCCTTTGTGCAGTGAAGCCTGCATTCCCCAGTCTCTTCCCCGACTGACCATGCTGCAGCTGCTCACCTGCCCTCTGATTCAGTGGCTGTACCCCTTCTGGACGGTTCATATAAATCGAACCCTTTGGTGTGTGACTTTTTTTTTTGTCTGCCTGCATGTCAGAAGAGGGCACCAGATCTCATTACAGGTGGTTGTGAGCCACCATATATGGTGCTGGGAATTGAACTCAGGACCTCTGGAATAGCAGTTAGTGCTCTTAACTGCTTAGCCGTCTCTCCAGCCCCCTCCTCTTTTCTTGTCTTGTTTTCTGTTTTTGTTTGTTTGCTTTTAAAGACAGAGTTCCAAGTAGCTAAGTCTGGCCTTTTACTGGCTGTGTAGCTGAGGATGGCCTTGAACTGCTGACCCTCCTACCTCTACCCCTCTGTGCTGGGATTACAGATGTGTGCCTTCTGCCTGGTTTTGGATTGAACTTGCCTTTATGTATTCTAGGTAAACACTCTACATCTCCCTCATTTACACACACACACACACACACACACACACACACACACAGCCCCTAGTGGTGAGGTCGATTGCTTTGAATTCCTCCTGTGACTAGTGATATTTTGATATTTTGAAAATTCCCGTTAGTGAGTTCGTTTCTCTGCCGATGCAATAAGCCACATCCAGCAGAACTAATGAGACCTGGTTTAATAAGCAGAGCAAACTCCCACCTGGGTGATCTCAGGGGAGGCAGGAAGGAAATCACAGGGCAAGTCCGGGGACTGGGTCTTTAACACCCTGCGGGCATGGCCCTGAGCATCTTAAGGGGAGGAGCTGCTGCTTGCTGAAGGAGGGGTCTGGAGAGAGAGAGAGAGAGAGAGAGAGAGAGAGAGGAGAGGGGTGGAAGCTAAACAATTGGGCAGGGTTTGGAATTGGGGGGGGGTGTGAGAACAGGAATGGAGATTCCCAACAACAATGAGTGTATTTTTGTTGCTTTCTTGCTTGCCTCAGTTTCCAAATCCTTTACTCATCTTCTTGGTTTGTTTAGTTCTTGTTTTGATTGGTTGGTTTTGTTTTTTTGGTTTTTTTGTTTTGTTTTGTTTTTTGAGACAGGATTTCTTTGTGTAGTCCTGGCTGGCCTACAATTTACTGTGTCATCCAGGCTGGCCTTGAACTTGAGATCTACCTGCCACTGCCTCCCAAGTGCTGGGATTAAAGGCACATGCCCCCACCATGCAGCTTCCTTAAAAGGGGATTTTATTCTTGTGTTTGTTGGGATGTCAAAACTCTTTACATAGTGTGATTTTTTTTTTTTTTTTTTTGGTCAGAATATGACTTTAAACAGTCTTCCTCACCCTGTCTACCCCTCACTTTCTCCATGACCCCTGTGGTGCAGAAGGCTTCAGAGGTCACGTGGTGTTTCTTGACTGGATTTCTCCAGGCCTTTCCGCTCTGATTCCTCTTTTATCAAGCCTGGGCCACTTCCAGACATTATTTATTTGCGCCTCCTTCCAGGCTCCCTCCACCCTTTCCTTTCAGAGATTCTGAAGAGGCAGCATTAGGCATTTTCTTAAGGCTCCCCATGACTCTGAGACCCAGCTAATGTTTCTTGGTCTGCTCTCTCTGTTCTCTGGTGATTTCTATTTCTCTGTCTTGGAATTCACGGATTCATGCAGCGAGGCTTTCTTTTCTTTTAATTCATTTCCAAAATTCCCACTTGGCTGTTTTCCATACATTCTGTTTCTCTGTAGAGAATCTTTTTCTATTTGTCTCAGACATGTTCAGTGAAGCACGGTTTGATGGTTGCTTTAGACCCCTGCTGAGGTAATTGCAGGGTCTGTACCATCTCAGTGCCGGTGGCTATTTAGTCCGTGTTTACAGGGTTCTGGAGCCCAGGCTAGGAAATTGGAGTTCTCCTGCTGAGCCGGCTGACTCTGAATCTCATATAAACCTTCTGCTTGGCATACCTCTCTGACTCTGAGGTGTCTGGGCTGCCAGATTCAGGTAAAAGTCCAGATTAACCACTGGGAACACCTGGTGTGTGTGTGTGTACACACGTGCATATGTGTAGAAGGTCTCACACACAGGCATGAAGTTCCAGGGACTGATGGGCTATTTGCCTGAGGTGGGGCAATTTCTACCAGAATGTTTTCTTTCTTACTAGGTTGTCTCTTCATGACTTTTCTGAGAGCTCTTTGGAGGGCTGCATTAGTGGGCATTTCCAAGGTTACAACTTCTCCAGCATGCTATTCTGAATATGTGAGGCGAAGACATAGTTCATAGACCTGTCAGTGCTCTGCTCTTGTGGTCTGCCTTCCAATGGCTTTCTCCACAAAGACGTTTGTGTGCCTGTTTCATGTATAATGTCTGGGGGTGTGGCCTGTCCCTGGCCAAGACATCCATATACTCTACCATGGAACAGTCCATCCCTTTCCATCTGTAGTGTGCCGGTCGCGTGCCGATTTTCCATAGATGCACTTGTTTGTTTGATTGCTTTTTTAAAAAGATTTATTTATTATGTATTGCTAGGTTAACTTTTAATCTTTTGTTGCTATTGAAAACAGCATCTTATATTTATTTATTTTGTAGTACTATTGTTGTTGTTGTGAGGCAGCAAGGTCTTGTTTAATCCAGGCTGGACTTGAACCCAATGTGTAGCCAAGGATGGCTGTTAACTTCTGACCCGCCTGC